GGGGGATATTTGTGGCGGTCAATGTGGATATTGTGGATGAGTTCTTCTGTGTCATCACGTTCTATTAGTTCTACAGCTTCAGTTTCGGAACTTTCACGCTTAGTAACACATACAGCTGTTCCCTCACCACAGTGCAACACTGAAAAGGGACCCCTTTCAAACAGTGTCGCGTTCCGAGCGTTGTTTAAGTGTCATACACCGGTATTGCGGTATTTTAAAAATTCATATAACAAAAATAAACACCGGTATTCGGTATGAACCGGTATACCGCCCAGCACTACTTTCACACATCCACCCTACCCTCCTTCTGGCTACTGTGTCACTGTGATTTATTTAGCACCTATTGTCTAATCTGGCCTTTGCTTTGGTGTGAGTCAGGCGGCACAGAACCGTTTTCTCGAGCCAAATGCTGTGCATTCATTAACCGAACCCTCGGCCTGTGACTAATGCCGTCGTGAAAGAAGAGATGATGTTGATGGTTTAGACCGCAGATCCTCCCATCATCTGGCCTGTGCTTTTGCTCTCGTTTCTCTCCTCTCTCACCGTTTCTGTTGGTTTTGTGGTGAGCATAATGCTTAATCTCTCTCTCTGTCTCTCCTCGTGTGGCAGAGGCACATGACTGAATTTAATCAGATGGATTGTAAGCGTGCACGCGTGTGTCTGTGTGCAGCCTTGGCTTTAATGTAATTCCATGTGAGCACTGCATGCCCTAGCAGAAAGAAATAACATTCTTTTTTTTAAATCGATTGCAATACAGCAATCTTAGCTAGAGTTATGCCTTTATAATAAATATTTTTAAGTGTCAATTTTAGCGACATATGCTTTCAGAAAGAAATTTACATTTGATGTAATTTGACATTTTTATTAATCATTTGTTAGGTTTTATTAATGTACTATTATAGCTGAAAAATCAAATGGTGCTCTATGCCATTTTCCATGCTTTGCCATTTCTACAGGAGTCGTGCACAAAAGGATTTGACGCATAAAACCGTAAACTTGCAGCATGACAGCATAACTTTTCATTTGAACGATAAAAAAACAATAGTTCCTAAATAGTTTTTCAAATTAAACAGTGTTGGGAAGGTTACTTTGGAAATTTAATAGGTTACAGATTACAAGTTACCCTATTTAAAATATCATATTTTATTAAAGTAATGTAACTGATTACATTGGATTACTTTTTGATTACTTTTCTAAATTTCTAACGAATGTTTTCAACTGTTGAAACATTTAAAACAGGCAGGGTTAACCTTACAGTAGGACTCAACACTTATTACTGTCAGACTGACTAATCAGACTTTAGCACCTCGTTTTACTTTGAGATCATTCTGAGGTTAAATACAGATTTAAAATCATAGCTAAAATACCTTTGCATAGCTATGAGAGGAAACACTGACATCTAACAATGCCTTGAAAAAAATCAGCTAATCTTACACAATAAAGCATATACTTAAACCCAAAGAGGAAATAAAACAGTCATTGAATAAGCATGTGTACTATTCTGTGTCCTAAACTCCTGAAACATTGGTGTCTCATATTTTAAAGCAGTCAATGCAATTTGGGAAAGAAATCAGTCATATCTTTACGTGCGTGAAAATGTTCAGATGTAACCCCCTTTTGATGTAACTGTAATTTAATTACACATTTTTCTCAGTAACTGTAACAGATTACAGTTACATTTATTTAGTAATTAAATTACATTATTCCGTTACATGTAACTAGTTACTCCAAACACTGAAATTAAATATTTTAATGTCTTTTAATATTTAAAAGACTCTACCCAAACATCCTTGAGATTTAAAAAAAAAAAAAAGGAAGTTTCTCATGCATACGAAATTGACTAGAATGTCATGTGATACGGTTATATGTGAGTACGCTAATACCGTATGTGAGAAATATTCAAAATGTGCATATTTTAATACAAAATGTTAAGATCCAGAAAAATGTTACAAACTTGTTATTAATGGCTCTGACAACTATAATGTAGTTCCATGACAGCTATATATTCATAAACTGTTTTGAAAAATAAGATTGCACATGGCAGTTTCTTTGTTATTTTGACAAGGGTGGTCAAAATTAAACGTTAGCTGCTCTGTATTCTCAAGTAGGATAGTTTACCTTGATTTTGGAAGCAGTTTTGTCTCTTACACCTTTACCTCTGGCCTTTTGAAATACCTTACAGAACAGTCTTAAAGATTCAAAGAGCGCAATTAAAGTGATAGTGAATGTTAGACCAAGGTGGAACCTGCTGTTAAAGAGTTTACTGAGCAAACAGTCCTGCGTCACGAGTCTCTTTGCTTTAATATGGTTATGAGTGAACAACACGGGGTGTTTTAGAGTTTGAAAGAATAATAAAAATTCATTTGGATTTTAATACCGCATTATGTTTTTGCAATGCTGATTTATTTCTCCTGCCCTTGAATTTGGGCCACACTGACAAGGTATTTAACAGCCATCAGCATAACCAAAGTCATCATCTGTCTATGTAGGTCAGCAGTCTCATTTTTGCAGCACTGATCAGACAGAGAGAGAGACACCGGACAAAAATAAACACCTGCCTGATTTTAACACTTACGTGGATGTGTTAATTATCATATTGACTGAAACAGACTGGCTGGTAGTACTATTTGTGTTAACTTGCATGTCAGTGAATCGCATATAATAATTGTACTTTTGTTTTTTGATTTGACTTGAATTTGATGTGTCATCACTACATTATTTTTTGATTTGAGCACTCAATTCTCTGTCAAAAACACAGTAATCACTGACCAGTGCATTTTAGTGAAGCCACCACTAGATGGCAGAATAATCGTGTCCAAAACTTCAAAAATAGTCTGTACTGTATTAGTCAGAGTGCTTTATATCTGGCTAGTTATAGAAAGCTGCATTATATACTAACAGAAGTCAGAGAAAATAGTGTATCCCAAATTATATTATCACAAAAGCAGCCAAGATTGTATACTTTTTCATGAGGAATTTTTAAGTATGCATTCTTTTCTTTTTTTGTTAATATGCTAATTTTGCATGCAAATTCAAACAGTAAATGGTCTGTAGTATCAAGGCACAATTTTGTGAAAGCATAATGTCTTAACATTGCCATTCTGAAAAAAAAATGTAGATGTAGAAACAATTTTCACTCAGTAAATTTCAGTTACCCAAAAACAGCAAGTAATACATTGAACTAAACGTGAAATTTTGAGGGAGAAAGACTGAAAGAGCATCTTCCTTTAAAACATACTCCAATAATCTTTTACAATCTTTTATTTAAAACTTCAAAAAATTAGTTTTTCCCATCACCAGTGAAGTGCAGACTTGTAGTTAGCAATAAAAGTATGTTAATTGAGTAATATAATGTTAGATTTAATATTACTCTTTCTTTATACACTTTTCACAAATGTGAATTATTTAAAAAAATACTCATTTGATTTCATAATAATAATATGAAAAATTACAGTTATAGTGTTTACTGATTAAATTGCATGTAAAGTTGTGGAACAAGTTGTCTACTCTTCTAGCACCTACTGAGTCAAAACTTTTATTAAATTGTTCATCAGCTTTAGTCAGGCTGGACTGTTTGTGAACACCCCCTTTATGTGTAAACCACAGATTTACAGGTTCACTTGTCCCCTCAAAACAAGTACAGATGGTTTGACACCTGCTGTGGAGTGTGGGGGTGTTCAGCCAGCGATATGTGCTGTTCTATCACATCAGTCTTGTTCCAGGAGGCAGATGGCCAGTCAGCTGTAGACTAAACACAAACCGTCATGACATTAAACAGTAGCTCAAGTCTGTCAATACTTTATGGTACAGTGCTGAGGAAAGTTTTGATATTTATAGTCTATGTGCAAGGTTGATAATCGAGATTAAGTTGCTGTATGGAAATGTCACTTTTATTCAGCAGCTCTTTGCTGACATAAGCTGTGTACAATATGCAACACCTCACCACGCAAAACCTTGGCTGTTAAATTTATGCAGGTGACCTTTATCAATGTGTCAACCCAGGACAGAGTGTTTTTTCAAGGAAGAGCAAACAAAACCAGGGCTGGGCGATATATTGATTATTTATGATATAGTCAACATTATTTTGTTGGTAATACAAAGAGTCTGGAGATGTAATACATTTTTTTAACTATCTAAAATTGGCCAACTATGGCTGGTAAATAAATTTAATATTTATTTACAGTGTGTTCAATATTATTGTATTTAAAAAAATTGACCAACCTAGGGCTGGATGACATAGTGTGTGTGTGCGTGTGTGCGTGCTTACGTACGTACGTATGTATGTATGTATGTATATATATAATTTTTTTTTTATTAACTACCTTGGACTTGTTGATTATTTCCAATATATTCTTTTTTTTTTAATTATATTTTATTATATTCTTATATAAATAATATATGCAATGTGTTCTGTTTTTTATTATATAAAATTAATCTGCTAGGGTTGGTTGATGTCATTATATTGTATTGTTATTATTATGTTGTAATTGATATTTGCAATATATTATGTTTATATATATATATATATATATATATATATATATATATATATATATATATATAGTATATATAATTAACCAACTGGGGCTGGATGATGTAATGAATATTTATAGTTTAGTACTATTTTGTTGATTTTTATTAAATTAAGGGCTGGTTAATGTAATTTATATTTGCAGTATATTCTATATTATTTTTTGGTTGTATAAAATTAACCATCTAAGGCTGAATGATATAATGAGCTTTTGCCATATATATATATATGTTATTATTTTGTTGCTGGTTTAACATTTACTAACCAGTGCTGAATAATTTAATCAACATATGCGAAATATTCAATATTGTTTTATGCCATTATAAAGTATAGATTATTATGTTTGATACATTTTTAAATGGAATAACACTGTTGAGTATAGGAGCACAAAGAGAGCCATTCTTTTTAATATCGTCCTTTATTTAAATCGATTTTTTAAAGATAAATGACAACAGAGTTTTGATTCAGTGAATCGGTTCTGTCAGATCAGTTGATTCGCTGATTCAAAACTCACAACTCTTTCCATTCTGAATGTTGTAGGAGTTTGTGTTGCGTTCCGGCGTGTGAGAGGTAATGAGTGATCACACACCCCCTCTCCCTGGCCACACACACACACACACTCAGGCTGGTTGTCAAGAGGGACGGTTTTCCATAGTCTTGGAATGCAGCTTACTGTCTGGCCAAGCGTACCATTAAACCATGTGCTGCCTTTGTTTTGCCTTTAGAGCGTGTCAAACAAACAACACTCTGGCACACTCTCACTCTCAGGACACACACAGCCCACTCATCACACTTCCCTCACACATTATGTATGTGAATATTTACGAAGTTTGATAATATGCTCTCAATACAATTGAGACTGAGCTGCATTTGGTAAGAAGTACAGAAAAAAAATGGTAGCATGATTTTTGTGTCTGTTCAATTGTAGAAGCATGTTTGTCTTTTGATATTTTTACCACATGACATTCTATCTCTATTTCCACAGCCTCTCATCCTGACGTCGATGAAGAAATCGACTATCTGTCCTCCGTCATTTCCAAGCAGCAAATGTCAGAAATCAAACAGCCAGGTTTGAACTATCTGCTCTTAAAATCTGTGTGGTTATGGTTAATATAGCGGTTATAGTGGTCATGATTCATAGCAAACCCTTCTGAGCTTTGCACCTCGCTTGTTTTAATGTAGTGTAGTGTAAAACAAACAGCGGTACATTCGGATTGCAGAAGCCTTTGCCGCTTAGTTAACGGTGGAAAAATGCTGTTAAATAAGAAAATAATATAGTAACTTTAGGGACGTTAGATAAAAATAATTTTTTAATGCTGAAATAAGGATAAAAAATAACACATCATATTTGCTCAATGAAATCCAATACTTGTTTCTTCCTAATTTGGTTTTGATTCCAAAACGAGTGGCTGTTTTGCTGTATTAGGACGTCACACCCTCTCACAAAATATGATTTCATAGCATTTTTGCTTTCGACAAACAATTTGTAAGGTGAACAAGTCTTGTTTTATCCCTACAACACAAGAAAAACTGCCACAAAGACATTCCTCTGAGCCAGATCCTCAGCCCATTTGTACATGTATGAATGATTCTGAAGCCATTATTTTATGCCTAATCCTGATTTTAAGGTTAGAATTATGACCAGTGACTGAATATGATGTTTTCTGCTACATCCAAACAGCAACAGAAAATTACAGATATTGTGAAAAAAGCGTATTTTTGACATTTGACTCGTTTGTAGATTGTAAGTTAAATTATACAATTTGAATAATTCTTTATTAAAAACTCTGCTACATCCAAACAGCAACAGAAAATTACAGATATTGTGAAAAAAAGCGTATTTTTGACATTTGACTCGTTTGTAGATTGTAAGTTAAATTATACAATTTGAATAATTCTTTATTAAAAATGGGGGGGGGGGGGGGGGGGGACTATGTGATGGTAAATGTTTGTGATATTTTGGAACTCCGCATCATCAAATTAGGTAACATTAGGCCTTTTTTGCAAATCGGCATAAGGTTTTGTTTTTTTTTTGTAATCGGATTTCCTTTTGTTCTCTTTTTCTGTCTCTCTCTGTCTCTTCATCTCCTCTCTAGACTCTCGCTCACAGTCTCCTCTGCAATCCCAGTCAGAATCGAAGCAGAAGAGTCTGCACAAACCCCCGACTGTAGAACCAACGACCAGTGGCCCATCCACACCAACACACCAGACCCCTAAATCGGTCACAAACTCGTCCGACCGCCACGGGCCGATCATCTCCCCTCACTCCTCCAGAGACAGCCTGCTAGTCTGTATGTGTCACTAGGTTTTTTCTGATTTGTGACCCTGGATCATATATAAGTCGCTGGGGTATATATATATTATACATGTTCCATGAAGATATTTTGTAAATTTCCTACTGTAAATATATTAAAACTTAATTTTTGATTAGTAATATGCATTGCTAAGAACTTCATTTGGACAACTTTAAAGGTGATTTTCTCAATATTTCAATTTTTTTTGCACCCTCAGATTCCAGATTTTCAAATAGTTGTATCTCGGCCAAATATTGTCTTATCCTAACAAGATTATTTATTCAGCTTTAAGATGATGTATATATCTCAATTTCGAAAAATTGACCCTTATGACTGGTTTTGTGGTCCAGGGTCACATTTGGTTTAAAGCCTAATTATGATCAATGTGTTGTGAGTTGTTATTTTTTTGAATCATTTCAGCATTGACCCGGTTTCCACAGAAATCTTTCTGTGTGTGCTATTTTTAATGCCATTTACCGGATTTACTCTGGTTTGGCTTGCCTGCATCCCTGACAAAGATGGCATTTTAAAGCAGGCCCATCACATGATGTTTTGTACTTTTATAATTGGCTTGTCCTCAGACGTTAGTAATTATATCGAAACGTCTCTGGCATGTGTCAATTTACACACTTCACGCACGTCCCTTATTTCGATGAATCAAGATGTTCTGTATGTGACAGTCCTCCTCATAGTTTTTCTTGTCTGTCTCTGTTTCTCTTTCTCTTATAATTGTGTGTGTTTGTATCATTGGGAGCAGTGATGATCTCTTTATGCATTATTGTGGGGTCCATGGCGCTCATCATCGCTGCTGTCTGCTGGGTCAGGTCAGTTGAATCTTTATTCTTTTTATTTGTCAGTTTGGGATGTCAGCCCGAACCATTATCATGCCACTGTAGTGTGTTTCTAAAAGCTTCCTGGTCAAACTAATGAAGAAAGAAGCAGATAAAAGTTAGTTCTGTGATATTTAACTACTTTAGGGGGAGAAAACGTTTTTTTTTTTTTTTTTGCATTAATGTAATTAATATAACTTATGATATAAAAATATATTATAATAGTATTAAATTTAATATAATTATAATGTTAAATATAGGTATAGATATATAATGATATAAATAAATTACATTTTAAAATAAATAGTTGTCAGTGCATCCTTTTATAGTTTTCCTTTTGATATACAATATATTATAATATTTTTATCCCTTTATATACTTTTTTCAGTCTTTTAAATAAAAAAAAAAATGATATTAGTATAAAAATAAATAATTTTATATCCTTTAATAATTTTGTCATTTCCAGTGCTTTTTTTTTTTTTTGTTAACTGTGTAATTCTATTGAACTTTAGCTTGATTTCTTTTCTTTTTTTGGTCTTTTACAGGCTACAGAGAGAAACTCATCTGACTGAGAAAGTTGATTACCCTGCGTTTCATGCTGCTGGTCCCAGTCATAATCATACTTCAGTAAGAGCATTTGCATTAATGCCAGGTCATACATCGGAAAAATACAATAAACACTTTGGCACTTCTAGTAATGTGTGTTTACAACCATCTCTTTCCATGTTTTAGTCTGGGGATAAAACCCTGGCTCACAGTGCTCAGATGTATCATTACCAGCATCAGAAACAACAGATGCTCTCAATGGAGAAGTAAGCACAATATATGATCTCTTCATTGCTTTAGTCGCTTTAGCTGCATTGTCTCCTCTCCGCTCTCGGTCCCTGTGATTTCCTTGAACATTATTTGTGTATTTTTATCGTAAGTTGGTTTAAGAGAATGCTGGCCAAGAACGTGAATGTAAAAATACATATCATTTTCCTTACTCATTTCCTTCCTTCTTACTTGCTTCCACTTTCATGTACATATATACATTGCACTTCATATGAATCATGCTAAGAGTACTGGTTTCAATATCAGCGTTTATGGCATAAAACTTATTTAAACTTTTTCTATAGTAGTGTATGTTTTTTTTTTATTACCTGCATTATTTAAAAAAAAAAAAAACATAGCCCTTTTTGTTTGAGTGTAACGTTGTCTAAACCATCCTTTTTGATGCTGCACTACTTTTATAGTTGGATGAACTTTTGGTTATGAAATGTAAATACATAGATTGATATGTCAAATCCCTTTCTGTTGTCACTGTGCTATTGTGCGAAGGTTATGACATCATGACAGTGAAGATGAAGCAAGTCTCATAAAAAGTGTTCCATGTTATATCTGTTAAAGATGTTAATATAATGATTTTTATTTTGAACACAGACATAAAGCAGAACCTAAAGTCTCGGAGTCTGGGGCCACATCAGATGAGGAGAATGAAGTGGGAGATTTCACTGTGTACGAGTGCCCTGGACTGGCACCGGTATGTGAACATTTTTGCATTTAGCAGCTTTTCAGCATTTAGCATCTCTATTTAACATGTGTTTTTATGATAATATTAACAGAAAAAAAATACATAAATACATTTTTAAATACTGTTTTGTTTAAATTTGAAATTAATTCATTTAATTTAATTAATTGAAAATTGTATTTAATTTAATTTGTAATTTATTTTTTTACTAAATTTGTTGTAAAATATATAATGCATGCACACTTCCATTCAAAGGTTTACTTTTTTTTTTTTTACTTTTAGTCTCTTATGCTCACCAAGGCTGTATTTATTTGATCAAAAATACAGTAACAACCGTATTGCTTTAAAATATGAATAAAATGACTAAAATTGTCTAGTTTCAAATTAAGAGACACCGCAGGTGAATAGGGTAAAAAAATAACTAATAGTTATCGCCTTACCCAGCTGATTGATTACATTGATAATTGCAAATATTTTTTGTATTACATGTTTTCTAAAATGTAAGGTTTAAATATGCAAATGAGTCATTATTTAATGAAATATGCACTAATTTGCATACATTTCTAGTACAGAAATCTAAACACTGGATGATGTCAGTTTCAAAATTCTTGTTGACTTTTTTTGACATATTAGAGTTAAATCATAAATCAAGACAAATTATAAATGAACAAATTCCTCTGTAAAAACCTTCAGGATATAGACGGGAATAAAAATGTAAAGTTTGGTGTGCTACTGAAGTGGAGATTTATGGCTCAGTGTAGGAGAAAAAAAGAATTTTGAGAAAACGGCCTTTAAAAATATGCATTGTAATTGAAATCTATTGACATAAATAGATAAAGTGCTATAAAAGAAACACTTAAACGTGTATTTTGGATGTTTTCTTTCCACTAGTCTGAAAAAAAAACCACACCAAAATCTCAAACTTGAGAGGTGCATGAAAAAACAGTGTTTTGCCTGCAGTGTCTCCCATTAAATTAATTCCTGTGATGGCAAAGCTGAATTTTCAGTTGCCATTACTACAGTTTTTGGTGTCCCATGCCTTCAGAAATTGATTTATAGATGCAGTCCTAATATTTAAAAGAAAGAAAAAACATATTAACTAAACAAGTATGACCGTTATATATTTGCTAAATTTGTTGTTATTTTTTTCCCCTCTTTAGACTGGAGAGATGGAGGTGAAAAACCCACTGTTTGACGACTCCGCCTTACACTCCCAGAAAAATCACAAGTGACCTGGACACACACACACCTGCATACTTTTAGAATAGGTCTAACACACCTAAAAGCATTCCTCCATAGGGTGAAGCTGCATCTGTCACACCACACACAAATGAAAAAAAATATCCTGGAAAATCTGTGCTCAGAACAAAGTGAGAAAAACACCCAAACTCTAAAGATACTGAAGAAGGGGTGGTGTGTAGTCAATCAGGTGAATAAAAGTAAAAGACAGCAGTGGTTAAAAGGTTTTTCTTTTACTCACATGCACATATATCAAATCTGAAAGAACTCTTGCCCCGCAAACTCTCAGTGGAAACTCAGCCCGGCCTTTTAATGCGGTTTCTTTACACCACATCTTTATTCTTCAAGTCTGGGGTTTGTTTTCTCTCACTAGCTTTTTATGTCACCTCCCTTGTAAAATCATTTCTCTTTAGGGTAAATGAAAAAATCTTTATAAGTATCTTTTTCAGCTAGATGTAATTTTTTAACAAGTCTTCATGTTTTTGGGCAAAGCTGCCTCCAAAAGCACCTCTTCTTATTATTGTGTATAAGAAATACACAGTGCTCTCTCACACATCTACGTGTGTTATTTGTCTCTCCTTATCTAAATATTATTTTCTTATTGTCAACTTTTGGTTGTCTTTATCAATGCTGATTAAGAATAGTTCTATTTAATTTGTCACATTAGTTATTTTTCCCATGTATGTTCTTTAATATGAAGTCTCTTTCTCCCTCTCTTAATTTTTTTTTTCTTTGTATCCCTCAGTAAATATCAAATCCATTTGATCTAATGATATAATGGTTGTGTCAGGAAATGAAATACTAGTTAGACTGAAACAGAGAGATGTTGAGGTTTTTGTGCTCGAATCACTTTAGTGTAAATAAATAAATACACTTAAATGTATTATATAGTACTTCCTTGAAGTGTATGAGTGATGTTATTGCAATCACGCTTTTGCATACATCAGCTGTGATGAAGGTTATGATTCAAGATCTGCTGTTATGATACTATTAATACACTAAAATACTGTCTTGTTTGGATTAGTTTATTTACATTTTTTGTCACATATTCAGTAGACATCAGTTTGGGGTTATGAAATCAGAAAAGTCTCTTATGCTCTGCATTTGTTTGATCAGAAATAAAACAGTAATGTTTGAAATATTATTGCCATAAAATAAATGTTTCCTAGTTGAATATATTTTAAAATGTAAATCTGCATTTTCAGCAGGCATTACTATAGTCTTCAGTGTCACGTGATCCCCCATAAATTCTAACATGCAGACTTTTATTATAGATATTGAATATGTGCTGCTTTTTTGTAGAAACTGATACTTTTTCATATTTCTTTGATTAACTGAAAGTTCAAAAGAAACGGATTTTCTTTCAAACTGATCTCTTTTTTAACATTACAAATGTATTTACTTTAAAAATGTCTTTCATTTTAATTAAGGAAAAGGTTACTGACCCCAAACTTTTGAATTGTAGCATATTTCCAAGTGATTATGTTGTGCTATGTCACATAAATTAAATAAGTGGGTATTCAGACCACAGGTGTATATTAAAGAATCAATACATATGATTATTCAGTTAGATGACTTTTTATTTTACACTGTGTTTTATAAGGTTTATGTTGTATTATATATTTCTATAAAGCCTCCCAAACAGATAACCATAAGTAAGGAATTATGTAACATTACAGTACATTACATAACATTACATGCACTAGGGCAACTGTTCCATAAATCAAGTTGGATTGTATGGATAGTGTTGCATCAGCTATACATCAAGGACTTTCATTTGTTTGACCTCAAATCTTGCATTCTTCTGAAACACCTGTCTGTGTTTCATTCCTGTTAATCCTTGTGGCCCCACTTTATATTAAGTGGCCTTAACTACTATGTACTTACATCAAAAATTAAGTACAATGTACTTACTGTGTTCATATTGTATTGCAAAACACTTTTGCTGCTATTGAGGTGGGATATGGGTAAGGTTAGGGACAGGTTTGGTGGTATGGGTAGGTTTAAGGGTGGGTTAAGGTGTAAAGGATGGGTCAACGGTGTAATTATAAGTGTGATTACAGAAATTAATTACAGATGTAATTACATGCAGGTATTTTTTAAATAGAAGTACAATGTAAAAACATGTATGTACACAATAAGTGCATTGTACCAAATTATTAATGTAAATGTAAGTACATAGTTGTTAAGGCCACTTAATATAAAGTGGGTCCATACTTGTTTTAGGTTGGACCTGAAAAAAAGCTTGTTCTCTGAAAGAAACTGAAGCTAAAATGTTTGTTTGTCCTCTCCAGCTCATCCATCTAAACAGAACGTGGCAAGAGGAGACACAACCTCCCCCAGTATAGGCTCTGTTCTGCGATGGGCCACTTAACTACCCCATAAGGTGTGGTTCAGAGGAGCCCATCACAGATCCAGCCTCATTGAGGTGTCTGTGGGGGGAGAGCCATTAAAGGCCATTGTAACTGTGAATGGTGAGGAAGGCAGCCATAGGCCACCCGATCAAGATATGTGGGGAGAGAGGCAGTAGTCGTCAGCAGGGTGTCAAAAGCAATCAAAAGGCCATCGGACAGGTTGTATAAGAGAATGGGGCAAAGAGAAGAGAGGTCACATACCTGTTTATCAGATACTAAAACTAAAATAAAAATGCAAAAAAAAAATCACAGACAACCAAACCATTTTTCCCAACTCTTTGGGCCTACATTAAGTCAGATTAATTGGGCACTATAAAATGACCTTTATTGTGACATAAAAAATATTTCTAGAGTATGATGTAGCATGTAGTACACAACATGTTATCTGTTTTTTTTGTATTATTATTGTCTATATATTGCTATTATTCAGAAGAGTACAGTCAACAACTGAGAACAGAAATAAAACAAATCAGCTTCCATTTTGGTGTTGATAAATATTGATAATTTGATATCAGTGATCTTTTAGTGTCACTGGTATAAATTTATAGTTTTTGTCCTTTTGATTTTTTTATTTTCCGTTTTCATTTTTAGTCTAAATGTTATATTTATATTTATTATTAATAAATATATAATACATTTATATTTATTTATTTTTTGTTTTTGTTTTTAGTTGTGTTTTTTGTTAGTTATTGCTATTTTATTACACATCTATAAAGGTTTTTAGGTTTCCGTTTTAGTTGTTTTAGCACACCAAGTAACTAAATATAATGTTGCTTTGGCAAATAGTTCAAATCAAATCAAATTTTTATTTCAGCCAATGTTTAAGTAATTAAATTATTTCTATGGTGTTAGTTTTAGTTAACTAATAACCCGGTTTCATATAATACTTCAGATGCCATGATATTGGATATAAAATAGATATCTGAGAAGTTTAAAACAGTTATTTGATTAACTTATTATCCAAATATTTTGGTAAAATATTGGGTTATTTGTATAGATGCATGTAAGAGCTTCATGTTTGATTTCCCTGTATTTCCTTCCTCCTCAGATTGGGATCTTCAAACACAAAGTCGTCATTTCATCTCAACTTGCACTTTACCACATATCTGCACTTTTGTCAGCAACAACATTTGGTTCCCATATCTAATGTATAATTCTGATGCAGACGTAACCACCTTCTGAAATGTTCCAGAATGCATTTCATGTAAACAAGGGTGGGGTGATGCTGTTGCTCCGTATTACTGAACATCCAGTTTAACAATATTCAATAATATTACTGAACATCAGAGTTGGAGTTCATTCTAACAAAGTTAAGAAAAGTTTTGCTGACTGTAGATTTTGCAGTACACAAGCCTGCAAACAGAGCCACCTGGGAGTGTTTTGCGGGCTAATCCTGGTTCTGCCGTCCCTCACTGGGCCTGTGTCATCTCTCCACTTTCTCCTCCTCTGTCTGCACTTTACATAACAATCCCCACCCAAGTCCATGGGCCAGCACAATGCCTGTAGCAGTGGTTTGATGTCTTTTAAAAGCTTTGACTGGCCCCGGAGGCCTCCTGTGTGTCCTTTCCTAGGCTTTGTGACCAGGAGAGATGGACAGCTCAGTTGTGACCTATATAGCTCCTGGTCTGAGAGAGTGTGTTTGATGGCAGGGGGTTGATTGTTCTAGATTTGAGTTGGCTGTGCTTGTACTGATGGTGTGTGTGATGCTCTGGGTGGGTGGCGAAGCTTCAGGGAGATTAGAATGGGAATCAAAGTAGACTGCAGAGGTATATATGTGTATAGTAGATATTTTGATCATTTTAAGCCATAGATGTAGTCTTTACGATGACACGCACTGTATAAACACAGGTAACAAATTTAGGTTATAAAAACCTTGTGAGATTAAAATGTCCAGTTTTCTTGTCATGATTAGACTGGTATTTAAAAGAGGCTAAAACGTTTCTTAAACATTCGACTCTTTATTTTTACTCAAAATATAACATTATTTGAACATTTATTTTTTTAAGGTAACTAAAACGTTTATTATCCGTTCTATAGCCTAATTTTTATTTCCCCCCAAATATAGGCTAGTGTTATTTGAACATTTATTTTTTGAATATCCTAAGAACTTTAAAATGTCCAGTGTTCTTATCATGATTATAACATTGCTATTTAAAGATTACTAAAACATTCAACAAGTAGGCTACACTCCAAAATAGGGACAAACCCAGCAATTGGGTTGTTTTGACCCAGCGGTTGAGTTAAATGTTTAACCCAGCCTTCTGGGTAGTAACCCAACCGCTGGGTCAAAACAAACCAATTGCTGGGTTTGTCCCTATTTTACCCAGCACTGGGTTGTATTTAACCCAGCATTTTTTAGAGTGTACAAATAACATGTTAAGGACATTCCGAGAATGTTGTTCTAACGTTTTCTCTCAAAGTTCTTGGAATGTATAATAGGCTAATATAGTTAAAAATAAGGTTCCATAAACATTACTTTAAGTTTTGACCTTATTAATATCACTTTTAAAAAACATTGTGTTGTGAGAATGTTCCCGTTTGCTGAGAAGGTCCATTTCTCGTAATTTTCACAAGTTAGAACTTTCAAAACTGTTTTATGGTGTGTGTTTTTCTACTGGAAGTTCGGAAAGACGTTTAGTCAACAAA